AGCGCTCAGGAATCTGCCATTAGTGATCTGCGTAACACCTAAGGAATATCTATTATATAAGTTCTCTTACGATATTTAAAATCTAACCAAAATGAAACATATAAAGTGCTTGAAACCTAAGGATGACTGGAAAAGTTCTCTACGATGGATTGCAAGAGCAGAAAATCATATGGGTTCAAGATTTGTTTTATTAAATTTTTATTTATATCAAATATTTTTTTAATTATTGATATTAATTATTTTACCTTTTTTTTTCACCAAAAACAAATGTATGCAAGATCCGTCGATAATATTAAACAATTCGAAGATCTACATATTGAGAAAATTTGATCTTCATCTAGATCCCTAGGAAGTTTGATTTTTATTTTAATTTAAATATTCTGGGTAAACAATATTCTGGGTAAACAATGTAACACTTTTAAAAAAATAAAAAATTATCATACCCCTCGGTTATTTAATAAACTGAGGTAAAAGACACGTTATTTTTGAAATAATAAAATTTACTGCTGCTGGGGTTCGAACCTATGTGCTAATAAACTTTTACCTTAGTGTTTTAAAAACCGAGGTGATAAGTCTTTACTTTTTATAACGACCTTATTTACGTCGCATCTACCACCGAGGTAAAATGCATTTTGTATCCGACGTTAGATGCGATATTTGTAGTAGTGAAACTTCACCCAAAAACATTAGATACTTTAATGTACCATTAGTCTCCATCAATCACTCAATCTTTAAAGGTGAAGGACCATAAACATGGAATTGTGACTAAGGATGAAGATGATAAACAGTGTCTAAAAATTTCACAAACCAATCTGAAACACAAGGTGTAAGGTATAGATGAATGTGAATGAAGAATACAACACAAGGTTCTAACAAATTTCTTGGCAAATATGATATTCTTGAGATTGATTAATCATGAATAACATAACAAGTTTAATCAACTCACTCTCTAATTCACTCAACACAATAACACAATTGCACAAAAAAAGACGTAACAAAAATGATAATGAATTTGACATCAATTCATAACCAGGAAGTTGCTTGTAGAAAGAATAAGATGAATATCCATGGTGTAATAATAAATACACCAAGAAGAGAAAAAAACACACTTCTTGTCTCAATGGGTTTTTCTAAAAATTTCACACACTTTTTACTTTCATTAAAGAAAAATTTATTGAAATGGAAAATGGGTCTTAAAGCATTGATTCAAATCAAGTGAACAATGTTATTCAAAACAATCTTGGACTCTTGAACATTTTATTTGAATAAAGTGAAAACTGTGAGTCAAATTAATTTGGAGAAAGCCAAAATAGAGTTTTAAGAGGATATTTGATTTGAATCAATATTTGTACTTGACTTAGATCACATGAGTATGTGATTTAAATCATGTCTATTATCTAATTCGAATCAATTTGACCAGGGCCAAATCCCATTTTTCACACAGCTTATGATTCAAATCATATATTGTACTTGATTCAAATCAAATATCTGATATTTTAAATTTAGTAACTTTAACTTGTGATTTAAGCTACACTTGTGGAAATGACAAGAGATAAATCTTATAGGCTCAAAAAGGAATACTAACAAGGATTAAAGAAGTTTATTTCATGAAATATAAAGGGTTCTTAGTGGTACAAATTTCTCATTGCTGAAGCAATTACAATTATATTAAAGTGATAACAGCATACAAGCACAACGAACAAATAATATTCAAATTACAAATACACAATCTAACTTATATCAAACAATAATCAAATTGACAAAAACATTAAAACACAAATGATACTTAAAGCACATAAAAGATACCATAAGATACTTTGTGCTTCCAAGAAGTGTATACATGTGAGTCTCCATTATTCTTTCGTGCCATTAAACATAAGTTAACATATTTATCATATGATCTTGAGCATGAATTTGAGGAGGAGATCTCATCCTCTTCTTCCTATGCGATATAGCCTCTACGACCTTTGGGTTTTTTTCCTTCGTCTTGTAGAATTTTTTATCCTTATTTTTATGCTGCTTAGTGAGACTTATACAAGTAGTGCTATAATGTCCCAATTTTCCGCACTCATAACATGTGATGTCTTCATCCTTTTTCTTATATTCTCTTTTAGGCGGGTGAGATTTTTTGAAATTTATCAAACCTTTGTCGGAATGCTTGAGCTTATTTCTTTTGAAGTATCGAATGTAGCATCTAATGAATAACTCCATCTCCTCTTCTTTAGGATCTTCTTCGTCATAATTATCACTTTCTTCATTTGATTTCTTTGCTTTAGATGGCGAAGCTTTCAAATAAAGATCCCTTTCTCTTCTTTACCTTCCTCTTTCTTTTTCGACTTCACTTTATTATTTGTGATTTGTTTCAACTCATTCTCATGTTCAACGAGTTTTCCAAACAACTTTGTGATGTTAAAAATATTAAGATAGTTAGATTCTTGTATAGCAGTAACCTTTGGTTGTCATTCACTGCATATTGACCTTAATATTTTGTTAGCACAATCTTTTCTAGAAACAGAATTTCTGAAGTTGTGTAATTTGTTGATTAAGTGGAAGAAACAAGTCAGCATGGATTCCACGAATTTTCCAGGTTCCATACAGAGAAATTCAAACTCCTTCGTTAAAATATTGATCTTAGAATCCTTAATGTCTTCAAGACACTTCTCCCTCAATAATTACACATCTTCTTAATCAAGATATGAATTCAAAACATGAGACTGGAGATGAAAGAAATCTGTTTGCAAGAGATTTGAGTTTTCAAAAATGGAGGTTGTTGTTATGTGTTCACTTGTTTGGTATGTTATTAAAGAATGATATGACAAAAGAATTTATATGCGCTGGAGATGAAAAATTGTTGTAAGATTCGAGTCAAGAACATTTGTTGATTTGAGTCAAATGAGCAAGTAGAGTGAAAAAAGATAAACATAAAAGAAGTGACACATTTCCTATGATTTGATTCAAGCTTTAATTATGATTCGAGTCATGAAAGGTCATGATTTGAGTCATAAATTTGAACATAGTCAAACGAAAAAATATGAAAAACTTTGTAATTTGAGTCATATGTAAAATGTGATTCAAATCAAACTGAACAGTAGCTATCATGACTTTGTCTGTAAAAAAAATATAAATACAAGGGAGGGTTTGGGAGGAGATTGTTTCCGTGTAAAGTGTGTCCAGTGAGATCTGTACCACACAAAAATAGTATAAAATATTTGAAAGTAGATTTTAAAGGTTAGCCTAGTAAAGGATCCGTGCGAATATTAAATAAAGGTTATATAGTTATGGTTAAGAAATGTATATAAAAATATATACAAATTAAGAGAAAAAAAGCTTTAAATGATGATTATCACATAAATTTAATTTAATTTATTAAGTGGTAGTAGTTGTCAAGATATACATAGAAATTATATTAAAAAATATGAGTATATGGTTTAGTACACTTCACACACATATATATATAAAATTGATTATCTACCCGTGTGTTTGCATGATTGTGCAATATCATTATAAATAGCAAATAAATATAATATAATGATGGTTAAGAAATATATATATATATATATATATATATATATATATATATATATATATATATATATATATATATATATATATATATATATATATATATATATATATATATATATATATATATATATATATATATATATATATAATAATAATAATAATAATAATAATAATAATAATAATAATAATAATAATAATATATACAAATTAAATAGTGTTGATCCGTCGGAAATATATATTTTAATAGTTTAAGATATTTAAGATATTCTCTAATAGAATAATAATCAAAATAAAAAACAAAAAAAATAAAATTTACATAAAAACAAAGAATGAACCTAAAGGATGTTGTAAGGCCAATCGGAAATCCTAATTATTAAAGAAGGAAAAGGGTAAAGAGAAAAAACAATAAATCAATTACGGATGACCAATTAAAAGCAAGATATGTAGAATAAAGTACACGATACCTTCCTCCGTCTGTCACAATTCCATTTATTTTCATCGATCTGTTCACCGTCGATTCCTTCTCATCTCTATTTCTCTTTTTATCTTTCTCTCCTTGTTCTCAAACTCGCTCTCTCACTCTCCGTTCTTTTCAAATCTCATGAAAACAAACAACAACAATCATGCTTTCACTCTCACGGTTCCTTATCTTGTTTTCACAGTTTCGATTTCGTTTGTGTAACCTCAAAACTCTGATCCAAACTCTTTATCTCTCGTAAGTCGCCTATTACGGTTTTGTTTCAATAATCATCTCTCCATTTCGACTTTATTCTGTTGCAAAATTTTTACGAATTTGATTTCAATTTTCACAAGAAAAACAACAATCAATGAACACAACCACACCTAGATTCGTAACTTGAACAAGACAAAGTCTAGAAAATAAATATAAGATTCTTCACATGTAAATTCTTCTCATATACTTTTATTCTTGTGTCTGGAATCAAAAGTGTTCATAAAAACTCTCTAATAACACAAATCAATTTGTTTAATGCTTTGTTTTTAATCTTTTACGATCTATAATATAAGAAACATATATGTCATAGAAAATATATTTATTTCCATCACGCCGCATATTAAATTATGCTATTATTAATTATTATTATTTTTATTTTTATTAATTATTATTACGCTTGCAAATTGTTGTCACTTGAAGAAATCCATTTCCGGAGAGTTTAGTATATATTTTCCTAGAGATTAAAAAGATTATTGACGTGGCACAATTATGGACAAGAGATGAATCGAATGGTCTATATACAGACGATTTCAGTGAGTGCGTGAAACTTGAACTTGCGTCTTCGGGAAATCGTAGAACCCAAACACTAGACCCCAAGCACAAGCCAAGGGTTTTAGGTTTTGGGTTTTGCAACTTCAAATTGAATCACGAACCCTACAGCGTCTGCATCCTTCTTTCTCACCGGCGGTGACTCTTCTATCTCTCATCTGTGTCGTGATTTCATTTCAATTGTACTTCAGCAATGGCTGACGGCACAGAAAAAACTGTTCCTAATGATTCTGTCAACTCAAAAGAAGTCGAGAAGCCTGAGATTCAGCCCATAGGTTTGCCCACTGTTGAGGAAATTCGAGGCCAAGATATCTGGAACAATTGTGCTGTGCGCAGTGTCGTTAGCGGAGTCATGGGTACGATTCTTGAACTGTATTTAAAATTCCGGATTTAGAGACCTTGCTAACGGTTGAGGTATGTACTGTCAAAAAAATCGTTTGTTGGGATTTATGTGATGAACTTTAGGTGGTGGTCTTGGCATCTTCATGGGATTATTTCTTGGAGCACTGGACAATCCTCTAATGCAAGAGGAAATGACTGGCAGACAACAAATTTTATTTCAAGCAAAGCAGATGGGGCGAAGGAGTTGGAGTTCAGCCAAAGCATTTGCTGTTATGGGTTTCGTATTCTCAGCTGCCGAGTGTGTTGTTGAGAAGGTCTAATGGATTTGCGAATGAAATATATGTATTTATATTTTACATCAAGCATGTGAGTTTAATTCTTCTTCCTATCATCTGGGTCCTTTTTTCTCTTTCAGGCACGAGCAAAACACGACATCACAAATACTGCTATTGCTGGATGTACTACTGGAGGTGTTATATCAGCAAAAGGTAACCCTCTTTTTCATTCATTTTCTGTCGCATTATATTTTTGTCTCTCAGAGCCTGTATTTAAGAAATGACGGGAACATGGCCTGGCATACCTACTATGAGGTGTGAGAGCAAAAAATATTTCCCATAAAAAACTATTGCCAAATGACCAGAAGTAACTAGCCTAATGATTTCTTATTTTTGGGTGATAAGGACTTTGTAATGGACAGCCACTGAAACTTAATTTTAGCTGAATGCTAGAGTATACTTTTGGTTGTTGTGCATGAACACTCTAAGTTCTGTAATTCTGTTTGGCAAAATGATAAACTAAAAGCAAGGTTGAGTTTATAGTCTGTCTTTCACCCTAGTCTAATCCAAAATTTACCGAAGATTGAGAAGGAGAGTTAAAGATTGTAAATCATAGGATAGTAACACGGATCATATAATCCTACTAAATTCATGAAACTCATCTATCTACATATCTGCATTTAAATCCATTTACAAGTAAGATTGTCGATTCCACTTAATCCTAACAGATTGCGATTCGGCCTGTTATTGGGAATTTGGTATCGTCCAAGTCATGAAAATTAATGTGTTGTCATCGTGTCGGAGGTTTCTTCATATGGTGTTGGGATGGTTAGGAATTTAGAATGAAGAGTATTTATAGGAGTGACTAAGGTGGGTGAAAAAGCTGGATTTTGTCTCTTTTAGGAGACATCTTTGCTTGGCATGAAATGTATGGCAACAAAGGTTGCACTTCGACATCATTGCCTTTGTAGTGAATACTAAAGGAGAGGGGGTTGAGCTTGTCTGGAACTAGTGAGTAATGGTGATGGATGTAGTGCATGCACACAAGCATTTACTCATGAATTGAGCTCATAATTCTATGATGCATAGGTATGAGTACGGTACCCGGCGCGGGTACTGGTCAGGGCCGGCCCAATCAATATGGAGGCCTATTTTAATTTTAAAATAAGTCTAAAAAAAAATGAATTTATACCGAATTTTAAAAAAAAATCGGTATAAAATCATTAAATTTAGAATTTTTTTATTTTATAATTTTACAATTCTTTTTAAAAAACAGATGTAAAATTAATTTTGAAAATAAACTACAACTTTACATTTTTTTTTTAAAACAGACATAAATATATTAATTTGGTAATTAAAAAGAATTAATAAGCCCTTCAAGATTTGGGGCCCATCAAGATTTGGGGCCAGTGTGGTAGCACATGCTGCACCTGCACTGGGCCGGCCCTGGTACTGGTACCAGTACAGCCGTACGGGATACAACATTTAAAAAAAAAAAATCAAGGGACGGGTACGTTATTAAAAATATAAGAGTTTTCTATAAAATGTATGAGTAAATAACTAAATTATTAAGTTTGTAACAAAATATCACTATAAAAGTTTTAAAAGGTAAAAAATAATGTTAAGATACAATAACAAAGAAATTAAAATGCATAAATATACTATATTCATATTTGAGAAAACCACAAATTTCATTCAAAATCTAATAATGAGAAAAAAGAAGTAACACGAGTATGGTACCTGGACCCGGTACTTGTACTTTACCATTTTAAAAGTACCCATACTTTATAGGCTCACATGCATTTGGAAGAGAGAATGCTACTCACTAATTTAAATAGCCAAGCTTGAAGCTACATATACCAGTACCGCCTCTCAATAGGGGCTCCTACTAAAAGGCCTTGATGTAGTATCCTAATATTAAGAGCCAACAAAACCGGAAAAAAAGGTGGTGTGAATGAAGAGCACATAGTTGAGTTCGTCAAGTGTACTTTTAGAAGTTTGCTGTTAATGTTGTGGCTTCGTTATTGTAGAATTATTGTTTATCCATTTTCAAAATTGTTTTCTATTTAAATATAACTTAGTGCTGTTGATGTAAATAAAAAAATCAGAATAAACAATTGTAACAGCAAGTTCTCATTTCATGGGAGTTCTGAAAGTGATTATATTCGTTGCTTGATATAAGCAGTGGGCACTTTAATTTCAGTTTTAAATCTCTCGTTGTTTCATTCATCTATTCCCTCGTTGCTGAATAAATTTGTGCACTGTAGACTGTTAAGATGAAAAGCAGATTGATGTAAAAAGAGAAAAGAGAAACAATAATCAGGCTGGATAATGAACTGGCTAATCAGGAATTGAAACCCTCAATGTTATTCGTTTTACAAATAGTACATGTGTTTTGCAATGACATTTGTTAATATTTCCAATGTCTGTGTGGTTGTAGGTGGTCCAAAAGCTGCATGCGTTGGTTGTGCTGGATTTGCTGCATTTTCTGTCGTAATAGAGAAGTTTTTGGAGAGGCATCAATAAGTGAGTTTAGTTGGACCAATTATGTTTTTCTTCAAAACTAGTTTGAGTTCTTGATGAACATGTTTTGCCCATATGATAAAGGAACATGATAGGGAGCAACACATATATTACAGTATTATTTCACATCTGAAACTTATTTGTATACAAACAATGTCATTGGCGGATGCATTCTACAGTTTCTACTTTAGTATTGGAAAATGCTATGTATTACATAATAATTGGGACTGACTCTTTCAAGTGTTTAGCACAAAAAAAAGTAGTGTTAGTATTAGTTAATTTTAGTAGCTTTTTTCTTTGTAATAATTTATTCTTATTTTTGAAAGATTTTATATTTGCTGGCTTCTTGAAATTCTCCCTTGGTATATCTTTTTAAGTTGAAAATTATATTAACTTTTGGTAAAAGCTAGATTTGATTATGGAAGAAATAATCTCATTTTTGTTATCATTAAAATAAAATAAAAACTTATAACCTTTACGTTTACTAGTACTTTGGATTTGGATTCATTTTTTTTGTGCCCCACATGCTTTAGTTAACAAAATCTACCCTCCTAAACATTCAAGGAAAATTAAAATGAAGGGGCTTGGAAGAAGTTAGAGAGTGAAATTTATCCTTATATCTTTTATGTGATCTGCAAAGGATTAATTCGTTGGATTTTTTCCTCTAATCTGCCATCATAGTGTTTGATTGTACTTGATTAGAGTTGGATCGGCACAGTTGGCTTCGGACTAGATTTAAAGGAGATGTGGATACCTGTAAGACACTCCGATGGCAAAGTGAGAGACGAAATGAGCAAGTAAGTATGTATGTAGGTGTGAATGAATGAATACCTGACCCTCTTGAAATAGAGGGTATTTATAGCCCCAAGCGCTGGACTAAGGTCTTTTTATTGGACTGATCAAACAGGCCCAACAAAGAGACTGCCAGGGAGATTGAAAGTCAGCCCTACGAGGAGGATGCTCGGGTGGAGCGTGCGCTCGTCGGGGACATTCCTCACGAGCATCGGCGGAAAGAAGTCGTAGCCGACTAGATGCCCATGATCGGGGTGTGCTCGGAGGATATACTGCTCAACACGACATGCTGACAAACTTGGATTGGGCCTCACTGGTGATTGGGCCACAGGCAGGCCCAGTCCAGAACAGGAGCCCCTCAAGTCGTTGCTCCTGGTACAGGAGTTATGACTTGATTCCAGTTCGTCCCTTCGCGAGACTCGCTTGTGCGACACAGGGGTTTTCAATCGGGGATGTGAGACATCGCCCGGTTCGTGATTTGCCCCGTTCAGCGATCGAGAAGTGTTCGAGGAGCACTCGCGGGGAGGTGGTGATGCACCAGTCAGACACGTGACGCGGCTCTTGGAAACAGCAATGCCGCCCTAGTGAGTAGGATCATCATTGTCTACGCGAGTAGGCATCGAGGACAGAGGCGGTTTGTGGTTCCCGGCGCGACGTTTCATATTCCACGTCATCTCTATAAATAGGGCTTCAGGGCCCATAATTTATTTTCACATCTTCACGCTCTCGTATTTTCTCTGCTTTCAATCACCGTGCATTTTCCTAGCGTCGCTGAGACCGCCGCGCCGTTTGCCGTGTATTCATCTCCATCACCGTCGCTCCTCACTCTTCTCCCAAGTAAGTGTTTTTCCCTTTGATATATCATATTGTAGATAGATTTTGATGGTGTTTAATGGTAGAATTTCATGCCCGTGATACTTATGTGTTTGGCTAGTAGATTTATGAACTTGGTCGGAGGATTCATCCTTTCGTTAGTATGTAGGCTAGTTTTCCCCATAGTATTCTTGTTCTGGCCAGCAACATTATGAACTTGGTCGTGGGGTTCATCCTTTGCTCGCGATATTCATGCTATGCTTGTGACATTCATGATTGATACATGATTGATATACGTCTGCCGCTAAGGTCGGTGTTTGGTCGAGGTCTACGTGTTCCCCGTTTTTCGTACGAATGGTCGTTGGCTCGATCTGAGTGTTGCTTAATTCTCTCTGTCTTTGTGGTGGAAAAGAGGATTTGCTTCGAATTCACCGGTTTCCTGTACTTTGCAGGTAAATGGCCGATATTCCTAAGTCCTCGGGGCGTAATGATGTCGAGGAAATAAACACTGCCGACAAAAGCATCAATCTGGTCGACACCGTCGACGACCCTACTCTGGATTGGGTTGGTGCTGAACCCCAGGGAATAACTTCGATCTATAGTTATTCTGGTAAACAAGCTTACATTGTCGTCGAGTATGGCGACGGCCAGGAGGGATTTCGGAGAAACGTTAAGATTATGAGGCCGACGAGGGATTCCTGCATCTGCTCGGAGTTTACACATCACGCCTTTCCCATGTACGAGATCGTATTTAAAGATCTCAGGCTCTGGTTGCCCTTCAATGACTTCCAGGTGGGAGTGTTCAACCAGCTGAACCTGGCCCCCTCCCAGATTCATCCTAATGTGATTACCTTTATCCGGGCATTCAAACTCACCTGCCGTTTCCTGAGGATTTGGGCGACGATTCTCCTGTTCTTCAGGGTTTTTCATCTGTAACGGAAGTCCCGAGGAGGGAAGCACAACTGGGTGTCTCTTAATCAATCGAAGAGACTATTTAGGATGTATATGGATTTTGTGCGAGATTTTAAAGATAAGTGGTATATTTTGCAATCGTCTACCTAGACAATCGTAGATTCGTTGTTCGAACCAACCATTGTGGTGGACGAGGACGGGGAGCCGTGTTTGGATGCTGAGGGTAATCCCGAGATTGGGAAAGTCTCAAAGTTTCCCATCCACTGGTGTTCGGGCCATTACGACCATGGACCTGGATACCACCACACTCCTGCTGGCGGTATGAGCGCTGAGGACGAGGAAGCTTATGGCGTCCTGAACAAGTTTATCGACGGCTTTTTTCCTGCTCGGTGGGTTATGAGGGAAGGGGACGACGTTCTTAATGAGGATGGTGAGCCGACGTTCGAGGCGCGTCCGATCAACACCAAGGCGCTCGTCGAGTGCCAGTCATACGGGAAGGTCGTAGACCTCTTAGGTTTCTTACTTTTCTCTATTGACATTCCTCTTTATTTGTTTTCTTCAATGTATGTGGCTAACCCAAGTACACTTCCTTTGCAGGTCACATGGCGGAGCATCACGAGAGGTTGCTGAAGCTAACTCAAGACAAGAAAATCAGCAAGAGGTTGGTGAGGCCGCAACAAGTCACGCGGATGGGCCCGACCCCTGAATCGGGCAGGGAAGGATCTAGTGGATCCTCGGGTTCCCCGAATATTGAGCGCCAATATGCTTTGATCAGCAAGAAACAGAGTCGACCAGATGATGGGGTCGAAGTGACCGATGGAGGGGCGGGTGCCCGGGCCTTCGGCCTGCCACCCTGTTTTATGGAAAAGGATTTCTTCGAGGGGTTTCCCTTGTCCGTATCCGACAACGAGGCCGACATCACCAGGCGGCTCGACAAGGAAGGTTGGAGGAAACACCGCGTTGCTAGCATGGCCGGGGTGGTGAAAATGGCTGAGATGGAAGTTGTCCTCGCGGGCGAAGGATCAGACTCCTTGGATCGTTGTCAAGGAGTTGGAGTCGGAGAAGGCGGCTCTTGTGGCCAAATCCCGCAAACTGAAGGCTGCCCTCGAACGCTCTGAGGAAATGTTTCGTGAGTAGTCCGACGTGTTGTCGGGGGAGAAGGAAAAGGCCGACAGAGCTCTCGAGGAAAAAGACTGCCTCCAACTTGATAAGGAGCGGTTGGAGAGTGACAACCAACGGCTGTCGAGAGAGGTCGAAGACTTGAAGGCTGTTATGCTGCCCGCGGAGGACGATTCGGAAGGGATGGCCGACTTACGCACGTGCTCTGACTTTATCGCTTGCATTCAACTCCTGGAGTCGGATTGTGTTGGCGCTCTGACTGATGGCTTTGAGTTTGCGGTGAATCAGCTGTCCGTGCTAAATCCGAGTTTAAATACCTAAGGGGCTGGGGTTCTGTCCCAGATTGTTGATGGTCAGGTTGTGCCTCCCCCTGACTCTCCTGACGTCGACGTTAGCACTCCGGGAACTGATTGATGCTTTTATTGGTGTTTGGGCTTGCGCGCCCGTTATTGTTTTTGGGGCTTGTGTGTCCGTTATTGTTTTTGGGGCCTGCGTGCCCGTTATTGTTTTCGGGGTCTGCGTGCCCGCCTTTATTCTCTTAGTTTTTTGACCGTCGTGCCTGGACTGTAATTTCGGATAACGCCGGCCCTTGTGATCGATATATTATTGATCCTTGTTTATGATTGCATATTCGATGGATGCTTTGTTTTCAATTATCTGATAATATTTGATGTATATGCCCGACTGTTATCTTTGGTAATGAATTCTTGACGAAGTTTGTGTTCGTATGGAGATATCTGTTCGACCCCTATGTCGGTTTGACACATTTCAAAATGCGTCAAATGCACGGAGTGGGAATCTGTGTGTCGGGTGTATGATCGCGATTGGGACCCTACGCCTGTGGCGTGAACTGCCTATCGCGAGCTGGGTGTTCTTCCATGTGGGATACTTCGATAGTGGAGCTCGATCGAGGTGTCTCTGTCGGGCATGTACGTTTGGTTCATCGAACCGAACGACAATATACCCTCATTGGTTGGTAGGTCGGGTGGCCTTCAACGTCTTCACCTTCTCCGAGAGAGTTCTTTTATCCGACTCCAGCCTACTCACCACAGCAGAGGAACGGTCCCCCTCACCTGAGAGGACCACAACCATATCCACGACCTTCATTAAGCTACCCATGCTCATCGCCAAGTGTTTTCTCCTTCCCTCCTCATCGAGCCGCCTGATAATGGTGGACTCCTCATTGGACACGGTTTGGGGAAATCCTTCAAACAAATCCTTCTCAACAAAGCAATTAGGAAGGGAAAAAGCCCGAGGACACGACCTGTCCTCCATCAAATCCACAGGTTCGTCTTCGAGAAGGCCTCTCTTCTTCCCCGACATGGCATCAGGCTGAACGACATCAGGAGATCCAGACGAAACGCTAGACCCATCCTTGGCCTACTCGGGATTGAGGCCGAAGCAAGTAAGCTTCACTACCCTCTTGTTGCTCTTTTTATCATGAGTCAATTTCAGTAAAAGTTCATGAAGATCTGTCATATTACCTGCAAAAAACAACAGCTCGAGATAGTATGACTGATATGGTATATACGAACAGACTAAAAACAACAGACAACAAGGTCGCGCGGGCAGAGACCTAGAAGAACCACGGTGTCCCCGTAAGTACGACATTCAACAAGCACCTTGGTATTGATCGGTCGGACCTCAAAAGTGGGTTCACCATCATCACCAAGGATGTCTTTCCCCTCCCGCGTCACCCACCTTGAGGGAAAAAAACCATCAATGACTTTTTTGAGAATGCGGAAGGCCCCCCGTCATCATCACCCATGTGACCGACATGGGTGAGATAATGAGTTGATCCATGATTGTAATGTGCTTGACACTAATGGATAGGAAATTTTGAGAGCATTCTGATCTCTGCGTTCTAATCCTCGTCGTAACAGACCTCCCCGTCCTCATCGACGAGAGTAGTTGGGTCAAACACCGCATCCACTGCCTCTTTAAACACGGGCTGAACGATGTACCATTTGTCCTTGAAGTCGTGGACAAAGTCCATGTATATCTTGAACAATCTCTTGGATTGTTTAAAAGAGACTCAACTATACTTTCCTCCTTTAGTGTCGCTAAAGGTGAAAACATTTGAAGAACAGGGGGAATCGTCACCCCAATTTCAAGATACCGACAAACGATCTCAAATGCCCGTATAAAGGAGATCGCGTTAGGATGCAATTGGGAAGGTGCCAGAGACAAATGATTAAAGACACCCATTAAAAGTCACTAAAGGGCAGACGAAGCCCCAAATCTTTGAAGATGATTTCGTACATGGGGAAACGATCCTCCTGAAAACACGAGCATATTCTGGCCGTAGCGGTCAGGCGGAAGATCTTGAAGTTTCGTCTAAAACCCTATTGGTCACCGCCATATTCGACGACTGTATACGCTTCCCTCCGAGCATTCTTGTAGACCGAAACTATTCCCCGGAATTCTGGCCCAACCCAGGACAATGACACATCGGTGATAGTGTCGACTAAATGAAGACCCTCATTGACTCTACTCGCCTCGTCTGTCTCAACCCATTTTGTCACCCCTAATAGGTGTAGGTGTAAGAAGTAATATAGAAATAGCAAAGTTGTACCCTTTACTTGTAAAACTGTTACCATCATACCACACGACGCGCCTACTTGTTTTAGATTTGAGTGGAAGCATACATAAAAATCGTCAAAGGGAAAAAACTTTGCTACCTAAATTGCTGTCCTTTACGGTTAGTATAATATGAACAACTAAGTTGTTGAAAATGACTCGCAAATTTGGCAGCAAGTTAGATATGCATGTTTGTTCAATTTTTGGAAGTTTCTGAAATTTTCAAATAGTATTAATAACTTTCAAATTAGAGTATTGTGAAAAATAAATTTTACGGAAATACACATAGATATATTATAAAAATATTTTTTCATATATATTTAGTGTACTTGAGTAGCGTTTTCCGAATTTCAGAAATAATTATAATTTTTCTTCTTATTTTAACCAAATTTCATCCCATCCCATCTAAACAGGCCTTAGAGTGTTACATGGGATCTATTATGCTTATACTATTTTCACGGATATGTGAGCAACTTTTAAAGAAGAGGACATCACTTATTCACCAATCGATTAACATTTGTAACCTCCGCCAAAAAAAGAAACGCAGAACCCATAAACTCTAAAGTCTAGAGTTATTTTTTATTTACATGCTTGGGTGCAAATCGTAGTTTAGTAAAAGAAGGACTAGATAATGCTGAAGGAAACAAGACAAAAATGTAATTATATGGAACACTCCAGGAAACAAGACAAAAATGCAATTATATGGAACACTCCGCTAAAACATTACAACACACATGAGAATAGGAGATGGACTGGAGGAGAGACGACACGGAAAAAGTTTACAAAGTTCATCGTTATGATCACAACCATGGTGAGAAAGAGCACACAGACTAGTCAAAATCCAAAATATAAGGAAATAGGAAATCAAAATAAAACTTCATTAGTTCTTTTGGCCCCTAAATAGAGTACAACATGAAACTGGTTGGGATTGGGTTTGTGAGCAGTCAGAAAGGCCTCTGACAATCACATCTGGACCGCCCAACCGGGTGGGGGACAATTTGTTTAGTCATATCTATCGGGTGTTTTTGTAGAAGTAGTAAAAGCATGGCTTTATTGGTCCAGCAGCAAAGGACATCAACCTCTGCAGAGATCATGAACAAATAATATTGGAAAATAAGATACAAAATACTCTATACCCAACCTCCAATCCTCTTCTTCCCAACCAACCCTTTTAAAGGAATACCAAACCTCACCAATATGAACACAAAGCATGTGAAGATAGCAGCATATAATCCATTTTTTCTTACACCAAAGGAATATAAAAATATACATTTGTATTAATATATACATCCAGGATTATGAACAAGATCAGATGTTAATATATGTGTATTCATGTAAAAGCTATATTCTTCCCTATCTGAACAACAGTCACCACATTGAAGAAGACAAGACAGCAAAAGAGCATGCTAACACACGATTTTACACTAGTTTCAAGTCAAGTAACAATTAGAACCAGAAAGGGAAGCATGGAAATTTACCTTCAGTTGCAAAAGACATATATGTATTATTTATATACACAATGACGAGTCTGATGCAAGAAGTTCCATCTGATGAGTAAGATGGTCCATATGTTGTTTCTTATCCATATTTTCTTGTGGAATCTCTTTTTCTAATGAAAATTCTTGGTCCTTGGTCAAACCATATCCTAGATTGCTACCTTTAACTCCATCTGTGTCTCCGGTAAGTGAGCTTGGCATAAAAAACAGATCCCAGAACTCTTCGTTGATTCCTTGAAGTTTAGAAATCCCACTCGGATCAGGAGAAAAAGCATCAGTTTCCAAAGACTGTGTTCCATCAAAAACAGCTGATATCACATCCAGTTCCTCATTATTCTCAGTGACAGACCCCACAAAATTTTGATTAGAATTCATGAAGCTGCTCTCTGTAGCCAGTCCTTGAACTTCACCAAAATTCAAAACAGTGTCTTGGAAGTTATGTGCTGTTAATTCAGGAAATTCAGCTGCTTTGACACAGTCAGTTAACACAGAAGGTGAAGATTGTACCTCAGACATGCTATTAGTCATACAACCTACAGGAAATTGAGATTCTACTGCCATACATGACTGCCCAGAAATAGGTGGAACCTCAGAAAGCGTTACACCAGAAACTTGGGTGGACGAACTACTGCTGTCTAACGGAATGGCTGAAGGAGTATCGTCAATAAGGAATGCATCGGGGTTCTTAATGGAGGACTCCGTCCTTGTAGAGTTGTTCATTTGCAACATCTGGTTATATAATGCTTTTGCAGTCTCATTAATTGAAGGCTGATACTTGACAACACGTCCATCAAGAGGATTATGGAGATTCTTGGTGGCTAAGTTTTCTTCTTCCTGCCTCTGGAGCCGCCTCTTTTTACCCCCGGTGACATGTCTATTACTTTCAGTCTGCTGCTGTGAAAATTGAGCCATGAAGCCAGGACTATGCATAGCCTTTGCTAGGAACGACATCATCTGTTGCTGACGCTGCTCCATCACTTGCACACGTTGCCCAACAGTTTGCAATTGGTTATCAGTCGTTTGTTGTTGCTGTCTTAACCTAACAAGTTCCGTCATAAGAACATTTTTATCCCTTTTCAGTCTTTCAACCTCTTCGTCAATCCCAAACTTCCCCACCTCAACACATGCCCCAACAGGTGCGTCCTGTACCTTAGGCGGTTGTTGACTATTACCATTTGCTTGAGTAGATTTCCGCCTATTAATAGTTTTCAACAACTCTTTTTGACCCCTTAAAAATCCTTCATGCGCAAATTCCCAGTGGTCAGGGTCAACCTTTCTAAAACCCTGCTTATGAATAAAAAAGACAATGGAGTTGATAACTGAGGCAAGAAAAAAAATGTGTACAATATACAAATAGTCCAACATGATTACACAAATAGTATTGATAAAGCAAGGAGAGGAGAGGGAACGACTAAAATATTTTATTTTGCAGGTATCAAACGTAAAAGTAAGTTATGCTAAACAATACTAGAACAAGTAATGGATTGATAAGGTGGTATGGGGGAGAAACATAGGCCTTGAAGTAATAACTAATACGGAAGTTGTGTCCAATTACCCCACTAACAAAATAACAACTAACTACCAATCGTTAGTTGACCTAGTGTGATCAGCGTTGGATTTGGTAGGGAGGACTATACCGGTGGTGAAAACCGAAGAAATAAAAAACTAACTACATGTACCAACATTTTCTATTAAAATAACACTAGGGGTATGCTTGGATTGGTGGAATGAGATTGAATGGAGTGGTATATAATCAAATTCTATAGTTTGGATTTGTAAAAAGTGGATGGAAAGCTGAATGGAACAAAATGGAATCCATTCCATCCAATCTTTCAATTTTCATTCCCTCAATTTGGGGTGTACGCAATGGATGAACAAACCGTTCCATCAAACTATAAAAAATATCCAAACAATGGAATGGAATCTCTAATCCACTTCGTTCCGTTCCACTCCATTCCATCATGTTTCATTCCGCTCTGTTCTAGTCCATCAATCCAAACATATCCTTGAACAAGTTTTGCAATAACTAACCAACAAACTAATCGACAAATAGGTATAACCCATGTTTACCATAACCTAGAATTCTACTAGATCAGGAGTCGCTTTTCTACTTACCCGATAGAATTTTGATCTAACATTCCCAAAAAAATGGCTTGTTCGAAACATCCCCTCCGCGAAACTAAGGATTGTTTCTTAAACCCAATTCTTAGAAAACCTTCCTGGATAGGTTTAGTGGTAACAGCAACTAGCAGCGGCGGGGGCAGCATCAAGGTAACAGTAGCAGCTAGTTAAGCGCGTTCACAATTACAATCACTGAACAGTTTATGAATAAACAAACTCTATCAATCTTATTGCAAAACCTAATCAGATTTCATTGAATCACGTATATTAAAAAACCAACTAAAAATCAAACCTTATCACAAGTAAATCGGTTAATTCAAACAAAGAGATCGAAAACAAAGCAACTACAAAACCCTAAAAAAACAAGTTCAAAACTTCAAAATCAAAAAGCTACAACTTACATATGTATTCAACTGCCTAACAAAGCTGGAGAAGTTGTTATGCTTAAAATACTTAGGCAAGATATACTTAGCGAAATCGGTAGCATTCAAAACAACAAAAGTGTTATTGTTTTTCCCCCACGAAACGATCGCGTCAGTTGAAGAGTCATCAACCATGTCATAGGTTTTGCTCAAGAATGGCGGTAACACATAGCTCGCGTTCCCAGCTGTCATATTCAATCCAAACTCGATGATGATGGTTATACGAAAACACTGAAAACAAAACGATGAAGAAGATGAAAGAGAGTTGAGAGGAACAACACTGATGGTGAAATGAAGGATTTATAGATAGATAGACACTAATGAGTTTAATAAAGTGTTGATTAAAGTGTTTTTTTCCTTAATTAATTATAGAATAGAGGGGGCAAGAAGTTATGTTTTGATGTGCAAAACTACAAAGGCGGTCTACGATAAAAAGGTGTGTCAGTTTATGAAAATATCATTGAAAAAATATTCTTAGGATTTTTTTTTGTTTTTTTTGTTTAGTTAGAAATTATATTTTTACTCTTGGTCGAAATAAATTTTTTAATTTAAAAATTGTAAAAGAAAAAAATAAATGTGAGTGCCAATGAAGAATTATGATCAATTGAATTTTATTTTGATGGCAATGTTGGATTCTCCAACTATATGAAATAATTATGATAAATATAACGTGTAAACAACATTTTTTAGAATAAAAATATTTAAGAGTAATTTTACAAATTTAAAACAATGAGTATCATATTTTTTGAAAATGTAAATTTAATCGGTAAAAACAAAATTATTGTTATATTCAAGAGCATTTTTAATTTTTAAAAGGCAAAGTGTTATGGATGCCACATGCCCAATATTTAGAATTATTATTTTTAAATAATTACTTTTTTTAAAAAAAAAAAATTCAAATAACTACTTTCTCGAAATTTTTACCAAAAGACCACTTTTCAAATAAATTTTTTTTGCCACACAGAGGAGTAGTCACTCTGTGTGGCGCATGCATTCATTTTAAAGAGGAGACGTCACACTGTATGGTTTGTCCTCCTCTGTAAAGTCACGCAATGTGGCGCATATGCATGTGATTTTAGAGAGGATGTGTCTGAAGGAAAATTGCGATCAAAAACGCAGCGGAATATAAAATTTTCCTTTAGCGATCCTTACGAATGAGCATGGTCAGTGATAGAAATATTTACCTCTTTGTGGCGATTCAGAACTTTGATGTTGTGATCACGAGCGTTGATGAAGAACAACGCCTCTACTCAGTCCACACGAACAGATCGCTTCCGGTCACAGTGCTAGCTGATCACGAACGGAAACCTTGAGTGAGAGAGAGAGAGTCAAAAACGAAAATGCATCAAGTGAAATTGCTTCATCACAAGGGATCTATTTATAGAATCACTCGTGTGGGCTACAAGCTAAAAGCCCAATTAAGGCTATAAGCTAAAAGCCCAATTAAGCTTATGGACATCATACCTTATGATGTACCATATATCACTTATCCACGTGGTACCTTACCACTTTCCGTATTACACTTAAGTGCACCGTACCTTACGGTGTTCCTTATTTATTCTATCTCTCATCAACCTGTCCTTATGTGTGTGACCCTGTAGGTTTTCGCGACGTTGGCAATTATATTAAATCACACATTTAATATAATAAACAGTAAGCGGTATCTAGCAACACATCACTGTTACCCAAGTCACGAAAATGTCATGTGCAAGCTGCAGTCAATAGTGCATGTCCCCAAAAGGAGTTCGGAAGATCGGCGTGACTCATCATGGATCGGACCATGTCTAACAAGGTCTGATTTCTTCTCTCAGATACACCATTCCATTGTGGTGTTCAGGGAGGAGTAAGTTGGGATAAAATCCCACATTCCTTTAGATGGTCATCAAACTCTAGGCTTAAATATTCACCGCCTCGATCTGATCGAAGAACTTTAATATTCTTACCTAGTTGGTTTTGTACTTCATTCTTGTATTCCTTGAATTTTTCAAAGGTTTCAGATTTGTGTTTCATTAAATACACATAACCATATCTACTGAAATCATCAGTAAATGTGATGAAGTATTGAAAACCTCCTCTGGCTGGTATGTTCAGTGGTCCACATACATCAGTATGTATGAGGGCCAAAAGATCATTAGCCCTTTCACCTTTTCCTGTGAATGGGGACTTTGTCATCTTTCCAATTAAACAAGATCTGCATGTCTCATATGATTCATAATCAAAAGAGTCAAAGAGTCCATCTTTATGGAGTTTGGAAATGCGTTTCTCATTTATGTGGCCTAAGCGACAGTGCCAAAGGTAGCTTGGATTTAACTCATTAGGTTTAATCCGTTTAGTATTAATGTTATAAATTGGCATTTCAAGATCAAGGACATATAGTCCATTGTTCATTTGTGCAGAAGCATAGAATATATCATTCAAATAAATAGAGCAACAATTGTTCTTTATTATAAATGAAAAACCAAACTTGTCCAAACAAGAAACGAAAATAATATTCCTACTAATTGCAGGTACATAATAACAGTTCTCTAACTGAATTATTAAACCACTAGGTAAAGTCAAAACATAAGTTCCTACGGCTAAAGCAGCAACCTTTGCTCCATTTCCAACTCGTAGGTCAACTTCACCTTTTGCCAAATCTCTACTCCTTTTTAGCCCCTGCACATTAGTACAAATGTGAGAACCGCATCCAGTATCTAATACCCATGATGCAGAAGTAGATAAATTAATTTCAATAACAAAAATACCTGAATTTGAAGTCCCTACTCCATTGTTCTTATCTTCCAGGTACTTTGGGCAGTTTCTCTTCCAATGTCCGGTCTTACCGCAATGGAAGCAAGTGCCCTCCTTTGCTATGCCTCCACTAGGCTTCAAAGCAGGAACAGTAGGTTTAGGCTTGGCAACTTCCTTGCCTTTCCCTTTACCAACCTGCTTGGTAGGCCTCTTGTTCAGCTTCTTTCCATTACTGACCATCAGAATGGACTTCCCTTTTGTCTTCATATTCTGCTCAGCAGTTTTCAACATGCTTAGCAATTTTGGAAGACTCTTATCCATGTCATTCATGTTGAAATTCATGACAAACTGATTAAAGCTATCTGGAAACGATTGCAAGATAAAATCAGTCGCAAGTTCCTTTCCAAGCGGAAACCCTAACCTTTCAAGGTTCTCCACATACCCAATCATTTTGAGTACATGGGGACCTACAGGGTTTCCCTCAGATAACTTGCTGTTAAAAAGGGCCTTTGAAACCTGAAACCTCTCATTTCTTGCCTGCTCTTGATAGAGCATTTTCAGATGTCCGATCATATCGAACGCTGACATGTTCTCGTGTTGCTTTTGCAACTCCGAGTTCATAGTAGCTAGCATGAGACAAGCGGCTTCGTTAGCATCATCAAGATGCTTCTTATAAGCTTCTCTTTCTGCCTTAGGTGCTGAACTAGGAGGTTCCTCTTCAGGAACAGGTGTCTCCAAGACATACAGCTTCTTATCGTGCTTGAGGACAATCCTCAGATTTCGGTGCCAATCCAGGAAATTTGTCCCAGACAATTTTTCCTTATCTAGGATTGATCGCAAAATATGGTTGTTTGTTGTCATGGTAATCTACAACAAAAAAAAATGAAAATATAAGTATCATTAAAACAACATATTTAATTAGGCCTTTAATCAAATATGCTCCCACTATTTTACTCAAACCAAATGACCCTCATCATTTGATTCGGAAAATCCCGTTGGAAGACTTTCTAGTGGGTCGAGATCCACATTTCACTTCGTTCTAAGTCAGTGTTAGGCTGATTACACAAAACTAGGTTATTTAGGTAGGAACTCCTTCCAATTGTATCTCATACAACTCTCGAATATTTTCAGTTGGGTGAATAACTCCTTATTCTAATTCATCATATGAATCATTCCCAACTCTTTCTTCTAAACATGTATAATCTTATTATAATGTGTTTAGTTAAGTTTGACCCATTGTTTTAGCAGTTGGATATTACAATTATCCCATCGCACCTTACTAATATAGAACATGCACCTCGCGTAGGCGAAACCTACATTATTAGATACTAGTCTTGATGAGTGCTAAAACTTGGAAAGCATGAACTTAATATTTAACTTGAGGGATTTTGTTATTAGTTTGATCTCACCGGCTTAACATGCAATTCGTCTCTCTCATGCATCAACATACAAACACATGCATCAATATACATAAAAGGATACAGTTATGGCCCCTAGCGCAATTGTTCTCCCAAGCCAATGAGAGAACCTAAGCTAACCTAATAACGATCTAAACTTCTCCAAGCAAGATCTCCAAGGTTATCCTCCTTTGATATTGTATTCTTCTCTTTCTTCATAACATTACATTACATAAAAGAAACTCGTTTTACATACGAGGGAGTGAGATGAGAAAAGAAGTTACATCAAGAATTTTAGAGAGAGGCATGACACGCAGGCCGTATTTTACAATCCCAAAACAAAATAAAGGAAAGAAAAACTAAGGCCATAACTGATCACCACAAGACAATAATAATAAACACACTTTTATTATTAGTTTAAATTTTGTTAATTAAAAAAAGGCAAATTAAATTTCGACGATTGATCACACTACGCAGAGTTAGCCGGTGGTTCCGCTGACCGTTCAGCGGACGGGGGTCAAGGGGGCAGCGCCCCGGCGCAAAATTTTAATGAACAATTCATTTGAAATCGGCGTCATTTTCGCACAACTCTTGTGCATTCACAACCCTAATCGCATAACTCTGCAACAACACAACCCTTGTGCCGTCATGAACCCTAATGAAACAGTTTCATGCTGTCAAACACATTTCGATTGATAATTCAGTATGATTAATCACATGCCATTGCTTCACCATACTAATGTCGGATTCCGAAGCATATGAACAGTGATCGGTCAAAGGAATAACAGTCATCAAGTGTTTGAATGAAAGAAACAGAAATAGTATATCCCATATACCATCGTTGCATCAGATTTACTTATATCATATATAAAAGTGATCGATCTTACTTGTGTAACCTATGGACGATCGATGTATCGCTGCTTCACCATACTAATGTCGGATTTCGAAGCATAGTCAACATTAATCATCCAAATCGTACACAACAGATGCCAAATTTAATTACTCGTTTATTATTCAATTCATTCTGGTTTTAATCGAATCAAAACAGAAAATATAGAACATAAA